GTCATTTTCTAAGTTAAAAAACTTAAAAAACGATTTGGAAAATACTAAAAATTGTTAAAAAACTCATTTTTTTCATGTCAGAGAAAAATACTCGAATTTTCAATAAAAATAATTTTTTTTGATTACTATCACTAACAAAGACATTACGAAATGTAATCAGTAGACGCAGTTTTTCACGCCGTATTTGGTGGTTACATTTCGAAACGTCTCTGTTAGTGATAATAATCAAAAAAAAAATTATTTTTATTGAAAATTCGAGTATTTTTCTCTGACATGAAAAAAATGAGTTTTTTAACAATTTTTAGTATTTTCCAAATCGTTTTTTAAGTTTTTTAACTTAGAAAATGACTTTAAGAAAATTTTAATATATACAGTTTTGTAGAGCTCGACGAGCTCTATCGAATCATGTAAAAATATTACAAAAAATACTAAAATTCATTTTTGAATTACTGACACCGTTGTTTTCTATCCTAAAAAAGCACAAAATTTTTCAAGTTCGATATCAAAATGTTTTGATAACACTTACAATTTAGTATCAAGAAATCCCATTTTCGACGGGCTTTAATTAAGTGTAAAATTAGTTATGTATGCCATTTGAAATAACAGTGTTACCCCCTGGAAAAACATTTTTACCTACCTAGTATATGATATGTACAGAACGCTCCCATACGCATATGAAGAGAAATAATGAACGACACATTCGTCTTTCAACAGTGTCATTGGTTTTATAGAAACACAAAAAGATATGTTGTTCCTTTCGTGTAAGTGACGGAGTATACGACCACTATTTACATGAACAATACTCAAAATATATTTGCAGACATACGTTACACTATTTTCGGAAGACCATGTCTTTTCAGAAGAAATAGTGAATTTTCTATGAGAAGGAATAACAAAGGAATGCTCTGATGTAAAAATGATTGATAACTCATCAACAAATATTCAAATGAATATATTTGGATGGAATTGAATATTTGAAAGTAAACAATGTTTGCTTTCAACGTTAAAACACCAAATTGATTTTCTTCATGAATTATACATTTCAGCATTTGAAAATCAGGTTCTCACCAAGCAGGAACTGAAAGGTTTCGAAATAAAAAAATACTCTTGTTTGTCTTCGAGAGAAGCTTTTTCAAATGATTCTGTACTGTCGAGAAAATGAACGATCACTCTACTAAGTACCGCTCGAAACCAACGAAAGACTTATTTCAATGAAATCTATGTTTATTCCCACTTCAAGTATTTGTTTTATTTCAGTATCGCTACGTTCTAGTTCGAGTAACATTCATCCGAATGCAACATGGATACAGAATGGTCTCACTGTAGCTGGAGGGAATGGACCAGGCAGTGGAATAAATCAACTTTATAATCCAGTGAGTTTATATGTCGATGATGATCAAACTGTTTATGTCGCTGAATGGTCAAATCACCGTATTGTGGAATGGAAATGTGGTGCGACGAATGGTCGAGTGGTTGCCGGTGGAAATGGAAGTGGAAATGGAGCTCATCAGTTAAGCAACCCACGAGATGTGATTGTCGATAAGGAGAGAGATAGTCTCATCATCAGTGACCAATCGAATAAAAGAGTAGTTCGATGGCCTCGTCAAAATGGTATTAGTGGAGAACCAGTCATCTCGAACATCTCTTGCGGCGGTTTGGCAATAGACGAGAATGGATTTCTCTATGTTACTGACATTGGAAAACATGAAGTCAGACGATATAAAGTTGGTGATACTGAAGGAACAGTAGTTGCGGGTGGAAATGGATGCGGAAACCGTCCAGATCAACTATCTAGCCCCTACTATGTATTTGTCGATCGAGATCATTCAGTGTACGTGTGTGATTATGGAAATCATCGTGTTATGAAATGGGAAGAAGGTGCAAAGCAAGGCATTGTCGTAGCCGGTGGTCAAGGACAAGGAGACAGTCTTAAACAGTTGTCACGTCCTTTTGGAGTCGTAGTCGATCAATTAGGCACTGTATATGTGACTGATCACGCGAACCATCGAATCATTCGTTCACCAAAAGGAGCCGTACAAGGAAGTATCATTGTTGGTGGAAACGGTCAAGGACAACAGTCGAACCAGCTCGATTATCCTATGCATTTATCATTCGATCGACATGGCAATCTTTATGTCGCCGAATGGGGAAATAATCGAGTACAAAAATTTAATATCAATTCAAATGCATAGTGTGTTGTTGTTGACAGTTGAATATTTTTCGACGAACGATGTAAAACATGTGTATACATATGTGGTTTTCTTCTTATTTTTCTTTATTATCTAAAAGTATTTTATTTTAATTTGGTAATGCATTGAAAGAAGAAGAATAAATGAAAAACAACAGCTATAAAAAAAATTGTATTCTAATGAAAAAAAAATGAATTAGTTATTTAACTGAGTAATTAATTATACTGATAAAAAATAGAAAGAAAAATTAAGTAATCCATTTAAAAAACATAACTGAATAATAGAGATATGACTGAATTCCATGAATTCAGAACACTTGAAAATAATCCTTGGGACTCTCGAAATGTTTAGAATTCATAAATATCATTGCATTCTTGTGGCTCGTGCAATCCATTGATCACTAGGAGTTCATGCAGTTCATGTAGCGTGTGATGACGTAGCAATCATTTTAACACACATTCGTATCAGTGAACTATTTATGTCATGATACAATATTATTTTTGTGCATTTTGAATTGAAATAACGAATAGTATCTTTACATGTATTAGGTAATGTGAACATGAAAGAATTGAAATTAGATTAGACAAAATAAATAGATGGCTATTGAGTAGATGACAGATAAATATTCAAGTATGAACATATTTCAAAATACATGTGAAGTCACTCTCAATTATTAATTATTGAAATAAAGCTTTAAGCAAAGAAAAGGATGTCTAGAAGAAAAACATACGATGAAAACTATGAACAATATGACAGTAGTTTTATTCGCAGTCTTCTTGAAAAGTACGACGTTGTTGATTCTAAATAAATACATCGACCTTTATGTTTGAGTCAACAATGAAAAACGAACTTTCAAAGGTGGACTCTGTTTACATTTGTAAGTCCGAATTCAGTGAATACAATATTGTTTGTTTGTTTGTTTTACAAGTACCTCCTATTGATATTTTTTTTCGCTAGTTAGTAATCTACTCTGCAGTAATTTTCCGTCACACATCTATCAAACAATCGGGAAAACATATTCTTGTACAAAACTGTCGTTTCTTTTCTTTTTTTTGTGAAAAGTAGTTTGAACGAAAAAAGAAATTGTCATCAACGATGACACATTTTTTTGAAAAAATGTCAACATTTTTAAATATCTTCATGATATTCTATGCGCGAAAATTCCGCATGGTATGACTTGGTAAGAAAGTTTTCATAATTGCATTATCGTTGCATTATCAGATACTATTTACAGGATAAAATACAACAAAGAGTCTATACGGACTCATAGGACCTAGCAATGATTTTGAAAGTTTATCCAGCTTTGAAGAGATGGATCAAGACTTTTTCAATTTTTCACTCAGCTATCGTGTCGTATGAATCAAAGTAGAACGAACAATCTGTTCTGGGGTGTGTGGATGGGCATGGGTACGCTCTTACAATTTCTTCTCACACCCACACTCACACAGATCCTCTTGGTGATGGATTGAAGATCAATCGAGGAAGACCACGCCTCAACTTAGCTCTCATCTACTAAATGCTGTTATTTGCTATCAACACTTGCAATACTGAATCTTGCAGGCCACAGCATCAGCATTGAAGAAGCATCGTATCTATATAACACGTTAAAATTCAATCTAATGACACTAGATCTCTACTCATCTCTCACCCATTTAATATTATCATTCAACACAGACACTCCAAATATTGAATCTTCGATACAACAGCATCGGTACTGAAGGACGACAGTATTAGGGGTGTAGGTGGTTTTGTTCCCAAGGAACACGAACCCACTACACAACGCATTTATTAGGCCACTACGAACACTCAGACGGCTTTTCGTGTCACTTCAATCATGTAACAACCACTAACCTGGTGTTTTCGGTTCCTATTCTTGGGAACTAAACACGAAACTGGTACCCCTAAACAGTATCCTGGTGATGCATTGAAGATCAATCAAATGAGGCTAAAGTCCAGCTCATCTCTCATCCATTTAAACTTGTCATTCGTTATAGACACTCACAATTTATGAACTTTAGGGCCAGATTATGGTTCGTTATTTGGTATGAGATCGAAATGGTACGGTGCAGTTCGCATATATATTCGGGCTTTCACAAACTACGAGAGTGATCTTTCATCTGCTGTTTGGTTTTTAATGTAACTTCTCTATTTTCTGGTCAATATATGGTTTCGCTTTTGTTTCTAATATGCAATCGTATCAGAGTCGAGACTTTATCCACGTAGCTACAAAACTACTGCACAGTAGTTTTGAGTCGGTAACTCTTTCTGTCGAAGCAAACGTGCGACAGTGTCTATTGCAATTCTGAAGAAACTCCGATCGTTTTCCTTTCTTGTGTCAGTTGAAAGTCTCAGTACGAAATCAAGATATCACCGCTCTAACCTGCAAATTATGTTTCACATATGACGCTGGCGGAGTGCAAAACTAGTCAAATTCCTTACTAGCAACACTCTTCACACTCTCGAGTCTCATCCAAACGGCCTAATTTAGCTATGAAGCGTTGGTAAGCATGAAGCTTCTGATAAACTCATCCGTCTAAATACTATTCGAGACGAACCTTTTCTTGGGCAAGATAGTCATGTAATGTAAGCGCATCTGTTAGCAAAATTTGAGACCTTTCAGTAAAATTCAAGACTTCAACTACTTGTTTCATCGCTTGTTATTCTTACTTATGCGTTCGAATTCTTATTCACGCGCTTGTATTTCTAGTTCAAGGACACGTACTATTTATGCTTACATACTAAAGAGACATTGTTCTAAAACACAATTGATAATCAAAGGTGATTTTTATATCGAAAAAAGTGAACTCTTCCGCTTCTCAACCCTACTTCCAAGACCATGACAGAGATTTCGACATGTTACTGCTTTGAACTGCTCGAAGATCCTCATCAATGAAGAAAAAACGAATTGGTCTCTTATAAAAAAAAACATTGATTTCGCAACATCGAAATATTATTGTTCAGAACTTTGTCAATTTGTGGACGCTAAAAGTGCAACTGTAAAATTAGTTGTCCTGTGTGTATTGTGGAGCTTTTCACGCTACATCTCCTGATATATTTTCTTCTTTAAATAGAATATATTTAGGGGTCGAAATTTGAAATGCAAAATTCTGCCATCTATTACGATTCATTCGTTAGCAAAGCGCATGCACCGATCGTGAAAGGAATGATGGACAACAGCAAAGGATAACCCAGGCAGACAAAACTTTCGAAAAACGCGTTTAAACGCACAATCGGGAACCGCGACCGTCATCCATGCCCACACAATAAA